TCATCAGCCGAGGGAGGACGGTACGTGGTAATCAGCAGGAGGTTTCCTCGTCCATGTTTAACCTGGTGTCATATGACTTCATGGGGTCCGGAGTCAATGTTGAGGACCCCCAGTGTAACTTCCTCCTAACTGTATCCCACTGTGCTGCCAGCTCTGCTGGGTCTGCCCTTCTGGTGGGACAGGACATACCCAGGGACGGTGATGGTGGTGCCTGGGACATTGCCTGTAAGGTCTGATACTGTGAGTGTGACTGTGGCAGGCTGTTGTTTGACTGTCTGTGAGACAGCTCTCCCGATTTTGGCACTAACCCCCAAGTGTTAGTGGGGTGGATGTAACAGGGTGAACACAGCCACGGTTATTTCTGATGTGTGGGTGGTCTTTCTGGTTTCCTATTTGACTCGGTCATAGTTTGATACAACTTGGCTTGTGAGGCCATTTCAGAGTCAACCGTATTGCTGTGGGACTGGACTCATATGTCAGCATTTAAAGGACATTCACAAACCGATGGCTTTTTACAAAAATCCCTTCAGCCTTGCTCTTATGTCCATTGAATTTAGATCCCACTTGCTGCTGTGGTGGGATTTGAACCTATGTTCCAAGGGCTGTGGATTCTCATTGACTGGCATTACCATTCCACCACTGCCCTCCCCGCTGTTAAACTGCTGAGTACTAATCAGTTTTTCTCAGTGTGTTTTACACTCTTAGTTCCATTATGTTTGAGTCAGTTATTGTGAATTTCTTACCTATCAATAAGGTGCATCTTCCAGTAGGTAATTGGCCGATGCAAGCAGAGTCTTGTTAAAATGCTCTGAAAGTTAGTTTTGAGATTAAAGCATCAATAACTTTCCTGATGATTCCAACTTCACTGGCCTCCAACACTGACCTGTAACAATACAGCTTTTGTCCAGGAACCAGACTTGCTTTTTCGTTAAATTAACACACAAAATGTCGACTTCTCTAGCTAGGCCAGCATTTATTACCCATCCCTAATTACCCAGAAGGCAGTTAAGAGTCAACCACATTTCTGTGGGTCTGGAGTTACATGTAGGCCAGACCAGGTAAGGATGGCAGTTCCCTTCCCTAAAGGACTTTAGTGAACCAGATGGATTTTTCCGACAATCAGCAATGGATTCATGGTCATCATTAGACCCTTAATTCCAGATTCTTTATTGAATTCAAATTCCACCATCTGCCGTGGCACAATTTGAAACCGGTCCCCAGAACATTAGCTGCGTTTCTGGATTAATAGCTAGCGATAACACCACTAGGCCATTGTCTCCCCAGTCTCCCATGTTGACCATTCCTATAGAGGGGATGCTGAGCAGTCCTACAGCAAATTGGTCCTGAACTTGTGAAAGAGTCACAGAACCAAGGTATGATGCATTTAACAGGGCAACTTACTTTATCCCCACAACATCCTGATTTTTCCCATAACCCAGCACCTTTCCCCTACTGCCTGGTGATTTTACTGATGTATGAATTAGGGGCAGGAATAGGCGATTTGGCCTGTCCATCTTGCTCCACCATTCAGTAAAGTCATGGCTGATCTGATTACTCCGTATTCCCACCTACTCCCAAAACATCTACCAAAGCGATATTTAACTCTGCTTTAAAAATATTGAAGGACTCTGCTTCCACCATCTTTTCCGGAACATTTCCAAAGACCCATGACACCCCAAGGGGAAAAGAAATTCTCCTCATCTCTCGCTGAGCGATCCCTAGTTTTAAGTAGCGGCCCCTAATTCTAGATTCTCCCTCAAGAGGAAATAAAGGTAATTCAATTCAATTCAATTCAGCTCAACATCCTGTCCCCATCCACCCTGTCAAGGCCCCTCAGGATTTTCTATCTTTCAGTCATTGAATTGAATTGAGTTATTTATTGTCACTGGTATTTAATAAATAGCCTGGTTAGTAAGTTTGCAGGTGACACCAGAATTGGTGATATAGTGGACAGTGAAGAAGGTTATCTAAGATAACAAAGAGATCTTCATCAATTATGCCAATGGGCTGAGGATTGGCGGACAGAGTTTAATTTGGATGATTGCAAGGTATTGCATTTTAGTGAAACAAACAAGGACAGGACTTGTACAATTAAATATAGGGCCTTGGGTAGTGTTGTAGAACAGAGAGACCCAGAGATTCAGGTACCTAATTCTTTGAAATTTGCATCACAGGTAGGCAGGATGGTTAAGAAGGCGTTTAGCATGCTTGCCTTCACTGCTCGGACCTTTGAGTGTAGGAGTTGGGACGTCATGTTGAGGTTGTGCAGGAAATTGGTGAAGCCTCTTCGGGACTACTGTGTGCAGTTCTGGTCACCCTGCTGTAGGAAGGATATTATTAAGGATATAAGGAGAGGGTTCAGAAAAGATTTGCTGGGAATGGAGAGATTGAGTTATAAAACTAGGCTGGATAGGCAGGGACTTCTTTCACTGGAGGTTGAGAAGGTGACCTTATAGAGGTTTATAAAATCATGAGGGGCATAGATAAGGTAAATGACAAGGGACTTTTCTGTAGGATGGGAAAGTTGAAAACTAGGGGGCATAATTTTAAGGTGAGAGGAGAAAGTTTTAAGAAAAGACATGAGGGGCAACTTTTTTACACAGCGTGGTTTGTGTGTGGAATGGAACTGCCAGAGGAAGTTGTGGTTGCAGGTACAGTTACAACATTTAAAAGTATTTGGCTATATACATGAATTGGAAAGGTTTGGAGGGATATGGGCTAAACGCAGGCAAGTGGGACTAGTTTAGTTTGGGAACATGGTCAGCATGGACTAGTTGGACCAATGGGTCTGGTTCCATGATGTCTAACTCTATGACTCTATAAATAAAGACAGTGAAAAGTGTAAAATGTCACCCATTGCAGATATTAGTCTGGTAAACCTTCTCTGTACTGCCTGCAATACATTGACAGCCTTCTTGAAATAAGAAGACCAATACTGTACGGAGTTCTCCCATTGGCCGTATAACTAAGGCATAACCTCCTGACTTTTGTATTGTATTCCTCTCTCAATAACTGATAACATTCTGTGAGATGTCCTAATTACTTGCTGTACCTGTAAACGAACATTTTCACGTCACTAAGACAAGCAGCTGCCCTTGTATCTCAGAGCTCTTAAATCTCTCTCCTTTTAGACAATAATGCTCTTTTTATTCTTACTGACAGAATGGATAATTTCTCATTTTCCTCATTACACTCCATTTGGCATATCTTTCACAATTCACTTACCTATATCTCTTTGTAACCTCCATGTGTCCTTTTCACAACACAAATTTTGCAACCATACCTTCATCCAAGTCATTTGCGTAAGTTGTAAAAGGTTGATGCCCCAGCACTAATCCCTGTGCCGCACTGCATATTACATCTTCCTGAACTGAAAAACACCATTTACACCTACGCTGTACTTTCTGTTAGAACACTCTCAGAACAGACAATAAGAGATGTTAGTATGTTACTCGGGATTGCTGAGACCCACACACTCCGGGAGGTATCTGTGTACAGACGTGGTGTCTCTCAGTCCCCTCTCTCTCTTTTAGGGAGATATCTGTACACTGACTGGTGTCTTTCAGTAACCGCGTCCCCCCGCCCACCCCTCTCTCACTCTCACTCGGAGATATCTGTACCCTGACTGATGTCTCTCAGACCCCACTCTCCCTATCTTGGAGAGATATCTGTACGCTCACTGGTGTCTCTCAGTCCCCCCACCTCTCTCTCAGGTAGATACCTGTACACTGGCTGATGTCTCTGAGTCCCCTCTGTCTCTCAGGCAGATATTTGTACACTGACTGGTGTCTCAGTCTCCTGCCTCTCAGGGAGATTTCTGTACACGGACTGGTGTCTCAGTCTCCTGTCTCTCAGGGAGATTTCTGTGCACTGACTGGTGTCTCAGTCTCCTGCCTCTCAGGGAGATTTCTGTACACTGACTGGTGTCTCAGTCTCCTGTCTCTCAGGGAAATTTCTGTACACTGACTGGTGTCTCAGTCTCCTGTCTCTCAGGGAGATTTCTGTACACTGACTGGTGTCTCAGTCTCCTGCCTCTCAGGGAGATTTCTGTACACTGACTGGTATCTCTCAGTCCTCTCTCTCTCTCCCCCTTTCCCTCACTCTCTCTCCTTTTCTTTCGCTCCCTCTCTCTCTCCCTGACTGGTATTTCTCAGTCCGCTGCGTCTCTCAGAGCGATATTTGTGCATTGACCAGTGTCTCTGTCCTGAACTGAAAAACACCATTTACACCTCCGCTGTACTTTCTGTTAGCGAGCCAATCTTCAATCCATGCCAATATGTCACCCCTTACACCATAAAGTTTTCATTTTTCACCATAACCTTTGCTATGGCACCTTATCAAGTGTCTTCTGGAAATCCAAGTACAATACATCCACAGGTTCCCTTTGACAACTGACACAATTGATATAGTTCATCTGCCTTGTTCTTATTTTCCATTGTTCATTCCCAGACCCACTTTCTGGGGATCACTTGATCACTTTGTCACCTCTTTCGTTTTTTGAAATAACTATGGAAACATGGGCTATTTGTTTTTATTCATCTAAGTAGCTTTCTGTCCCAGTGTTCATCTCCATTGCCCAGTCTCTGTCCCATTGTCCAGTCTCTGTCCCCATTGTCCAGTCTCTGTCTCCATTGCCCAGTCTCTGTCCCCATTGTCCAGTCTCTGTCTCCATTGTCCAGTCTCTGTCCCCATTGCCCAGTCTCTGTCCCCACTGTCCAGTCTCTGTCCCCATTGCCCAGTGCATGTCCCCATTGCCCAGTGAATGTCCCCATTGCCCAGTCTCTGTCCCCATTGCCCAGCGCATGTCTCCATTGCCCAGTCTCTGTCCCCATTGCCCAGTCTCTGTCCCTATTGCCCAGTGCATGACCCCATTGCCCAGTGCATGTCCCCATTGTCCAGTCTCTGTCCCCATTGCCCAGTGCATGTCCCCATTGGCCCGTCTCTGTCCCCATTGCCCGGTGTGTGCCCCCAGACTAATGGAGCTTGTATTTATGTTGCAGGAGTGCGACAGGGGAGTCATGGCAGGAGATCATGCTGGCATGCCTGAGTGAGAAGAGATGTGAGGGTTCCTCAGAGCACCGCTGTGGCACCGACTTTGCTTATTTCTATTTTGTCTCCTTCATATTCCTCTGCTCGTTCCTTGTAAGTGGAGCATCAGATTGAATTTTTGACACCCCGCTGTAACGAGACAAATCCCTCTCCCAGGACATTCCTGGTGGGTAACAGGGCTGTCCCGGATCCAACATCTGCAGGTTCAAGGCCAGTCAGAAGCCAGACATACACTCCCAAGGGAGCAACGCTGTCTTTTCAATGCAACTGAGACCAGTTTTTCTTTTGTTTATTCATTCACGGGATGAGGGCGCCGCTGGCCAGGCAGCATTTATTGCCCTATCCCTAATTGCCCAGAGGGCAGTTAAGAGTCAGCCACCTTGCTGTGGGTCTGGAGTCACATGTAGGCCCAGACCAGTTAAGGATGGTAGTTTCCTTCCCTCAAGAACAGTAATGAGCCAGATGGTTTTTTCTGACAATTGACAATGGATTCATGGTCATCATTAGAGCCTTAATTCCAAACATTTATTGAATTCAAATTCCACCGTCTGCTGTGGCAGGATTCGAACCCAGGTCCCCAGAATGTCATCCGGGTCTCATGAATTAACAGTCCGGTGATAATACCACTAGACTATTGCCTCCCCTGTCTCAGAGGAAAACAAAATATCTGGTGACACTAGACCACACTGACAGTGTTTCCTGAAGCCCTGCCCTACCTTTATTCCCTCGACCCACGTTGTGAAAACTGACTGAACCTGTCAGTGCCAAGTCATCTTCTGTGGGATCTTGCTGTGTACAAAGGGGTTCCCATGTTTCACGTGGCAATGACGACCCGGACGGCTCTTCTTTGGGTGCAAGCCACGCTGGGACTGGCTGAGGGGGGCTGAAAGCTGGTGGAAAAATCGCAGCCTTCCTGTTGTTGGGTTTTCCCCAGACCACCAAGCCCCAGTTCTCTCACAAGGCCTGAGGTTAGCTTCCAGGCCACCCCTGGGGAGCTCGAAACTCTGCTTCCAGCGCAGCACAGTGACCAGAGATGTCAACCATCTCCAATTTCAGACCCTACGTGTATCCCCAAAGCCTCCCTGCCGCTGAGCTGGGGCCCACCCTTAAGGGACTCCCTGGGGCCTCTAATCAAGAAAGTCAAAAGGCCTTGACAGAGACTAGGCCCCATTGCCCAGAGCCTGACCGCCTGTCTGTCTTGCTGCACTTTGACCCGGCTTCTGGGCAGCCAAATTAAAAAGTGGGTTTGCCTTTACTTTTCAGATGCTGAACCTGTTTGTGGCCGTCATCATGGATAACTTCGAGTACCTGACCCGAGATTCATCGATCCTGGGCCCGCATCACCTCGATGAATTTGTGCGAGTCTGGGCTGAGTATGATCGAGCTGCCTGGTACGATTGCCATTCCCAATCCGCTTCCTGCTTCTTCTTTCGCCCACACTGAGCAATGGCATGGTTCAGGGAACCAATTCAAGATCAGATACTACTCATCAGATAGGAGAAAGGGCTAACGCAGTGAGGGAACGCAAAAAACATAACTTGTATTCACTAATGAGTGGTCCTTAAAACAGACCAGATGGACAGTGACTTACACCGTAAATAATTTATGATGTACATAAAAAGGCAAGTGACTTACCTGACACTCTCAGAACAGACAATAAGAGATGTCAGTATGTTACTCGGGATTGCTGAGACCCACACACTCAGGGAGTGTGCACAGACGTGGTGTCTCTCAGTCCCCTCTCTCTCTTTCAGGGAGATATCTGTACACTGACTGGTGTCTCAGTAACCGCGTCTCCCCCCCCTCCCTCACCCCTCTCTCACTCTCGCTGTCACTCGGAGATATCCGTACCCCGATTGGTGTCTCTCAGACCCCACTCTCCCTATCTCGGGGAGATACCTGTACACTCACTGGTGTCTCTCAGTCCCCCCACCTCTCTCTCAGGTAGATACCTGTACACTGGCTGGTGTCTCTGAGTCCCCTCTGTCTCTCAGGCTGATATTTGTACGCTGACTGGTGTCTCTGTCCCTTCTCTTTCTGAGGGCTATCTTAACAATGACTGGTGTGTCTCTTAAGTGTGATATAAAGGTATTAGATATTGTATTGAATCGATGTGGTGACAAAGCTTTCGAAATCAGTCTTTGAGTTCCAAAATATCAGTGACCTACCAGGGGTCCTGATCCATTCATATCAATTTTGTAGCTGAAGTGAAAGCATTTATTTGTAATGGAGCTGATTGTACAGTGCGTAAGGAGTGAGACACAGACCTGATGGCCAGTCACTTCCACCCTTTTAGACAGTATATAATCAACATTGAACTCAGGTTCCAGGTACGTTTTGATTCGATGTGAGGATCTCACGTTGTTGCCCTCTGCTGTCCTCAAGAGTGCAGGGCTGTAAGTGTGGTAAACACTAAATCCAAGTGTATCTTCCGGAGAATTTAAGACATGAGACAATCCAGTGGACCTCAGTCTTAGCTCTTCAGAAAGTGAACGTTTGTGGATTTTGGGCAAGTGAAAAGTGCAGGACTTTCTGAGAGATTACGACCTCTCGGTTTCCCTGAAGACCCAAGCAAGGGCTTCCTGTCTCTTGGTTAATTTGCATTAGTCGGGGGACCTGATGCCAGTCAGTGGGCAAGTTGGTACCCAGAGCTGAAGAGGAACACAAAGCCACCATCCACAACACTGGCACCGAGCTCTCCTCACTCAGCGATAGAAACGGTCTGTTCTGCGTTGTTATTGTTGTTGTTGTTGTCTAACCAAATCTGCTTTCTTTGTAGCGGAAGGATTCATTATAAGGACATGTACACAATAGTGTGTACGATCGCGCCCCCCCTAGGGCTGGGGAGGAAGTGCCCTTGTAGGGTGGCCTGCAAGGTTTGCTTTATATTGACTTAGCCGCACCCAGTGGTTGCCCCTCTCTGACTGAGGAATGACAGGTTTCCTTTAAAGAGACAGTATCTCAGGTCGACAGCAACCAGCTTTCTCTTTACACTGCACCGTGCTTCCTGCACAGAACCAAGCCACAGGCAAAGGCCACCTGAAATTTCCAAGGGGTTGGCCAGATCCTGATTTGGTTGAGTGGGTATTCATCTTGGTGCAGCTGCCTATACATATACACACACACACACACACACACACTCACACACATTGACACACACGCACATAGACACACACGCACACACACACACACAAACTCACACAGACACACACACACATGCGCAGAGTCCATATATATACAGTCACACACTCTCTCACAATCTATACACACACAGTCATACTCTCTCTCACGCACACAGGTCCACAAAGAATCTCCACGCACACAGTCGCACTCTCTCTCTCTCACACACAGTCACATCCTGTCTCACACACAGCCACTCTCCCTCGCATGCACAGTCATACACTCTCGCATATACATACAGTCACTCTCTCTCATACAGTTAGTCACACTCACAGACACACACACAGAATCACACTGTCTCTCACACAGTCACACACACTCACGCACATAGTCCACACATGCACAGTCACACTCTCTCTCTCACACACAGGTCCACACACACGCATAAACACACACACACAAACACACACACACAGGGTCACACTCTCTCTCTCTCTCTCACACAGTCACACTCTCTCGCATACAAAGCCACATACTCTCTCTCACATACAGACACAGTTACTCTCTCACACACAGTCACACTCTCTCACACTCAGTCACACTCTCTCACACTCAGTCACACTCTCTCACACACAGTCACACTCTTTCATAGACATACAGTCACACTCTCTCACACACAGTCACACTCTGTCTAACACAGTCACACTCTCACACACAGTCACACTCTTTCATAGACATACAGTCACACTCTCTCACACATACACTCTCACTCACATAAATGCAGCAGAACACAATGAGACCAAATGCACACTCTTACACATTTATACATACCGATAACCTCACTAGATTGGTCCCTGGAGTGAGCAGGTTGCCCAATGAGCAGAGAGTGTGTTGGTCTTCCCTAGAGTTTAGAAGAATGAGAGGTGATCTTACTGAAACATAGAGGATTCTGAAGGGGATTGATTGGACAGATATGGAGAGGTCTGAAATACTTGCAGATGTTTGATCTCTTGGGGAGTCAAAAGAGATGGGAAGTTGAGGCAGAAGATTGGTCAGAATGGTATCAAAACATAGGCCAGACTCAACGGACCGAGTGGCCTTCTGTTTTTTTATGTTCTGATCTTCACAGTAACACTCACAAACACAAAAATGCCCACAGACGCAAGCACACTTACAAACACACAACTCCTTAGATTCATATAGCACCTAACATGAAACACTCCTCTACATTGAAAAACTAAATACATACTCAGTGTTATGAGGGCTGAAAGCTTTGTTAAACAGGTAAGGTTTAAGGCAAAAGTACAGAAGCTGTATGAGGGAATACTGGAGATTAGGGTCCAGGTAACTGAAGACAACATGACCATCAATGATGGAGCGCTGACCGTTGTAGAGGGGAATGGGGCAGGTATTCCTGAATTGTGAGGCTGGAGCGAATTGCAGAACACAAAGCCAGAGAGGGATTGGCAAACAAGAATGTGAGGTTTTGGAATCGAGCTACTGCTTGACCATGAGGCAGTGTAAATCCTGGAGGACAGGGCTGGTGGGTGAACAGGGGCTGGAGTGGGCCATGACGCAGCTGGCAGAGTATGAGCTGACCTTTGATTCACAGGATGAAGAATGCAGGAGGACAGCCGGGCTGTGTTGGAAGGGTTCAGTGTCGAAGTCCGGATTATATGAATGAGCCATACACAGGCACACAGATGCACACACTTGCAGGGACACACTGTCTTTCACATGCACCTGCGAAGACACACACTGCAGACATGCATGCACACACGCACACAGACACACCCTCATGTGTTTGACATTTGGACACACACTCGTGCACATACATGCATTCATGTGCACATATGCACACAGACACACTGTCTCATGCACATACACACAGACAAGCACACACCTTCACATGCACATGTGTACAGGCGTGCGCACACATACACACATTCGCTCTCACAAGCATATACACACGGACACACAAGCATATACACAAGTGCGCACACACTCACATGCACAGATACACACCCATGTATGTGCATGCAAACACACACGTCACGCACAGACACACACACTTAAAGATGCAAACGTTGATGCAAGCAGAAAATTACGCACACACCCACATGTACACATGCATGTACAAACACACAGTTTCACACACAGACTCACTCAGACACATGCACACTTTCTCACATGCATGCGTGCACTGACGCATGCTCACCCACGTCCTACCCTGACCGCAGCACCCTTCCTGGCATTTCTGAGCTGCAAAGTGCCTGCCACGGTGAATCCTGAAGGAGCAGTCGTGACCGACACATCCTTGAGAAGTCCAGCAGGTCAGGAACGGGTCCTGTACAGACTCAGGCTCTGCATGCCGTGTAAATCCTGAACAATGGATGAACACGATGGCAATTGGCCATTTGGTTGGGGCTAAGATATGAAATTGGAAGTGCGAACCGGTGTAAAGGAAAAGGAAAGATGAGAAACTGTTTCTTTATGGAGGGGAAATGCATAGTCCAGATGCATGGAGTGCATGTCTTCCTCTGCCTCTCCCCACCCCTCCCCCGTCCCTCCCTCTGACTCATGCTTGCTGTGCTGGGCACTGCTGGTATGGTGGGGTTTGAACCAGTAACCCATCATCCCACGGCAGCTCACTGAATCCAACCATATTTCGCCACCGCATTTATGCAACAGCTGAACTTTGCCAAGAGAGGAAAAATGGAAATGAGAGCTTTGGGTCATTGGCAAAATATACCAAACAGCAGGGGAAAGGTAACGAGACATTGTTTTTAGAGCTGCAAGTTATGATCTGGGGCTGCTGCCTGAAAAGGCGATGGAAGCAGGCTCAGAGTAACTCTGCCAAAAAAAAGGATATTCTTGAAAAATGAAAACAAAATGAAAGTTCGGGGGGGCCACGGGGAAAGAGCAAGGGAGCGGAACGAATTGGAAAGGTCTTTCAAAGAGCTAGCAAAGACACAATGGGCCGAATGGCCTCCTCCTGTGCTGTGTGACTCGCTGATTTAATGATGAAGGACTGTTCTGCTGATTGAGATAGATGTGATTAATTCTTTCCTGTTCTGTTTCTCCTGGACATGCTTATCACATCCTTCCCTCCATTCAAAGCGGCCGAATCCATTACACTGACATGTATCAAATGTTGACCCTTATGTCACCGCCGCTGGGTCTGGGGAAGAAATGTCCTTCGAAAGTGGCTTACAAGGTAGAAAAACAAACCTCAAACCGTGTCTGCCTGAGACTGAAAGGATCTTTGTCAGCGTTTCTGTATTGGCTTGAGTGGAGGTCTCAATTGAACTTCTTTTAGATTGTGTATCTGACAATTTAATGTCGTGGGTCGGAAATTGAAATTCTTACAGTTCAACTGCAACCTGGTCCTCCCTATTCCACCCTGGGGGTTTGTTTCTGTGAATTTTATTTTCTCAGGGTGCATCATGCTAGTGTTGAGAATAGAATACAGTTCCAGCACTCAGACAAGACAGTAACCTCATAGCAGATGTTTAATGAAGACAGTGTAGATACAGAATAAAGCTTCTTCTACATTGTCCTGGGAGTGTTTAATGTGGGCAGTGTACAGGCAGCTTTACTCTGTATCTAGCCCATGCTGTCCCTCTCCTGTGAGTGTTTAATGGGGGACAGTATAGAAAAAGCTTGACTCTGTATCTAGCCCATGCTATCCCTGTCCTGGGAGTGTTTAACAGGGGACAGTGTAGAGGAGGTTTTACTTTCAGTTTAGAAATGTAGAGAGAGCTTTATTCTATAGCTAAACCTCTGTTGTCCCTGACCTGGAGCGTTTGTTGGGGACAGTGTAGAGGGGGCTTTGCTCTGTATCTAATCCCATGCTGTCCCTTTCCTGGGAGCGTTTGTTGGGGACAGTGTAGAGGGAGCTTTACTCTGTATCTAATCCCATGCTGTCCCTTTCCTGGGAGCGTTTGTTGGGGACAGTGTAGAGGGAGCTTTACTCTGTATCTAACCTCATGCTGTCCCTGTCCTGGGAGCGTTTGTTGGGGACAGTGTAGAGGGGGCTTTACTCTGTACCTAACCCCATGCTATCCCTGTCCTGGGAGCGTTTGTTGGGGACAGTATGGAGGGAGCTTTACTCTGTATCTAACCCAATGCTCTCCCTGTCCTGGGAGTGGTTAATGGGGACAGTATAGGGGATGTTTTACTCTGTATCTAATCCTGTTTTGTCCCTGTCCTCGGAGTGTTTGATAGGGACACTGTAGAGAGGGCTTTACTTTCAGTTTACAAGAGTAGAGGCAGCTTTATTCTGTATCTAACCCTGTGTTGCCCCTGTCCTGGGATTGTTTGATGGGGGACAGCGTAGAGGAGGTTTTACTCTGTATCTAACCCCGTGCTGTCTCTGTCCTGGGAGGGTTTGATGGGGGAACAGTGTAGAGGAGGTTTTACTCTGTATCTAACCCCGTGCTGTCCCTGTCCTGGGAGGGTTTGATGGGGGACAGTGTAGAGGAGGTTTTACTCTGTATCTAACCCCATGCTGTCCCTGTCCTGGGAGGGTTTGATGGGGACAGAGTCGACTGAGCTTTACTTTGTTTAAAAGAGTAGAGGTAGCTCTGTATCTAATCCTGGACCTGCACTGAATGGAGAGTTCTCTGTTCTGCAGTACTAACATTTCTCACCCTGATGCACACAAAACTAAGCGCAAAAACTGAAGTCCAGCGACCACTTGAAATTTGCTGGAGGCCATTTCATGCTGTAACGTGACGCATGGTTCGGACAGCCTGCGAGCACAGCTGCTTTGTATGAACGCTGTGTGTTTGGTGCATGGTTTGATCACTCATTGATTTCCCCCCCAGTTCCTGCACTCATTGCCATCCCTGCCGTCCTGGAAACACTTTGTACCAGGCGTCCGAGCTCTCCCCTGCTGTTCACAGCTGCAAAGGCTGAAGGGCCCCTCGTGCATTCCAGGGCATTGCTTGGTAATGTCTGTCCTCTCGATCTGTCGTGTCGGTTTAGCTGTTCACAGATTGTAGCGTTGCCTGAACCCAACGAGAAGATGCGGGATGTGTGCAGGTTAAATCCCGAGCCGCGTGACCTGACTGATCCATTTTTGCTAGGGGGTGGCCTGAGTTTTCCAGATCCGTCTTACATGGAGTCAGGGAACAAGACTGCAGTTCAATTCCCACCCCAACCCACCAAGTTCATGCGGCAAACCTTTTGTGACATTAGCCGGGACAGACAGAAGCTGCACTGACACAGATGTTTGCAAGTGCAATATAGAATCGGAGAATCCCTACAGTGTGGAAAGAGGCCACACTGACCCTGCCGAAGAACATCCCTCCCAGACTCATTCGCCCACCCTGTCCCTGTAACCCTGCATTTCCCATGGCTAACCCACCGAGCCTGAACATCCCTGAACACTATGGGCAATTTAGCATGGCCAACCCACCTAGCCTGCACGTCTTTGGACTGTGGGAGGAAACCAGAGGAAACCCACGCAGACACGGGGAGGATGTGCAAACGCTACACAGACAGTTGCCCGAGGGTGGAATCAAACCCGGGTCCCTGGCGCTGAGGCAGCAGTGCTAACCACTGAGCCACTGTGCCAGCCCAATGTCAATGCATTGCCCTCATTCCCCAATCCAGCAGGAAAGGTGATTGCATTAGCTAGGATCCCTGCCCTCAGGAGTTGTCCTGGATTGAGGTACACAAACTGAGCCGATCTGGGCTCCAGCAGAATGAAGGACCTGTTGAAGAAAATCCCAGAGTGGGAGGGTTGGACAGTCAGAGGGGGCGCAGGAGAGGAGGAACAATTTCCACTGACAGGAGCTGGGATCATTGAGATGGGACGATGGAATTGTGAATCGAGTCTCTTACAGAGGGAGAATGCAGCGTAGTGCCTCTGACAGCATTTGCTGGACACAGCTGCCTCTTAGCCCAGCTTTCAAACTCTCTTTCTCCATCTCTTTCCTTCCTTCCCACCCACGCCACCCCCCACCCCAACCTCTCTCTCAGTCTTTATAAGGCCCTCACCCCTTTAGTGCACACTGCCATCTTCTCCACACTTCACTTTGTTACATTCCAAGAAGGAGCAGGAGGCTGAAGTGTTCCACAGCAGGAGCTTTGTGAAGGAGGTGTTCACTCTGCAGGCGGTGAGCTTAGAGAGAGCTGTTTGTTCACCCCAAACAGCCTGACAGACTGTTAAAGTGACAGTCCACCATACTTACGCAGATACACAATTTCTTTCCACTCAATTTTCCCTCTCCTTTGTTGTGCATCTTTCAATTTTCCTCCACCAGTCATTCATTGTTCCTCTTGCACTCTCCCTCCATCTCCCTTCTCTCAAAAACACAAACACACTCCATGTCTCTGTTGACATCTAAAGCCCTGCTGCCCTGATATGGGAATGTTTGAACAGTGTAGAGGAAGCTTTATTCTGTATCTAACCTCGTGCTGACCCTGTCCTGGGAGTGTTTGATCGGGACAGAATAGAGAAAACTTTATATCTAATCCAATGATGTCCCTGTTCTGGGAGTGTTTGATGGGGACAGTGTAGAGACAATTTCAGTCGATGCTCTTATATTAAATAAGAAAAATATCTATTTTTTTATTGAATGAAGTTTTGAGCTGTGCTGGTGAGTCTGTAAGTGCAACAGAACATAAAGTCTGGCAGCATCTGTGAAGGAGAAAACAGAGTTAACGTTTCGGGTCCGGTGACCCTTCCTCAGAACTCCTGAGGAAGGGTCACCAGACCCGAAGCGTTAACTCTGTTTTCTCCTTCACAGATGCTGCCGGACCTGCTGAGATTTTCCAGCAACTTTGTTTTTGTTCCTGATTTACAGCATCCGCAGTTCTTTCGATTTTTATTTAGAACATAAAGTCTAGAAGTGGAGTAAAGCCCCTCCACCTGCTGCCTCAGGCTGGTCATCTGTCTCCCTATCCACACTTTCTCCATCGCCTTTTGATTAAAGATCTGTTGGTTTGAGCCTTAAGTATATTCAATGATGCAGTGTCCAAAACCCTCTGGACTCGAGGATTCCAAAGGTTCTTCACCCTCTGAGCGGAAGTCCTTTTCCCCATCTCTGTTTTTAATGATCAGCAACTTATCGTGAAATTACCCAACCGCTGCTCCGCCTCACCAGTTTTTGATTCCCCAACTAGAAGTAACTTGCGTCCATCCTATTCACCATTAGAATCTGGTTTGCTTCAATGTGATTTCTGTGAACTCCAGAGAAAATCAGCACAGTTTACTCAGTCTCTCATCACAGGACGACTGTTTCATCCCAAGAACCCCAGCCTAGTGAAGCTTCTGAAATAACTCCTCAGAGGCTGGTATCCCGACCCCTAGTTACCCTTTATTTACACATGGAGAGTCCTTGATACTGATCCAGCTCCCTCAGAGTCAGCCCTCAGAGCGAACAGGATGTCTGACACGCCTGTGTCAGCCAGGGCTCCCTGGGTGGACCGGGTTAACAGCCCCAGTCAAGGAACTGATAGTCTATGATATTCTACCCGGCTGACTTCATTACAATCATTACGTTCCTCCCCGTCTGAGTCCAAGGACATTAGAAGGCTCTTTCTCTTTGCAGCTCTACCTGGGGTGTTTTAGCACCGGGTCAGGCTCCTCTAACTCTGCAAACTCCAACTCTGCCTCGGATACAGGCAGCATGTAACACAAAGCAGCTCGCCTCTTATTGCCCGGAGCGTCTGGCAAGAAATTCATTCCCTTCTCCACGAGGCAAAGGCATGGGGGCAGCGACATCCACCATATCCATCTCAGGTTCCAAGGTATCTTCTATGCTTGACGGGGAGGGAGAGCCCACAGGTTCCAGGACTGTCAGAAAGACAGTCAAGGAGCTGGGCGGCTGTTTTGCTTCCACACCGTTTGCGAGTTTGCAGCTTTCATACGGTCCACATGCTTGTTCAGGACCATCACATCGACCGGAACTTTATAAGTCACTGGACCGGACCTTGCGTTGACCATGCCTCCTGCCCCTACAGGGCCATTCCTGCAATTTCTACCCTAAACTCCATTCCCTAAACTTCTCTTGCTTAACCAAATCTTGTGTCCAGCATTCGCATTCCTGATAACCTTTTCACCGTTCACCCACCCCAGGACCGGGAAGATCAGTTTTAACCTGGTGTGGAGTCTTCTCCCCCATTAGCAACTCTGCTGGAGCCATCCCTGTAGTTGCATGAAGGGTGGACCTATCATCAAATAGGAACCAGGATAGTTTAGTGTCT